AAGTATCATAACTGGTAAATGGTGAGTAAAGAAAAAAGTAATTATAACCAAAACTTTTTGTTCAACAAATTATTACCCTTTCAAAAATATAATTGTTGCTAAAAGTTGAGTGCTGTTAACATTAAGAAAAATTGATGCCTCTGTTTTGAAAATGAGATCTCGTCCCATAAATACAGCTGAGCAGAATATAATCTTTAGTTCACAAATTAATGTTGTCAAAGGAATGAAAAAAGTAGAAAATAATTTTGAATAAATAATTTCATTTTAAGTTATGTGGTGTGATCCATTGTGGCCATCAGAATTTTTCTAGTTTTCTTTGCAGGGAATGCTATGTATTCTGGATGATTTCTTAAAAGCAAGAATTTTAAATTCTACAAACTGATATCAATTTCTAATGTATGAAGATTTTTTTTCAGTCATTTATTAAGTGTCTTTAAATTATATACTTACACAGCAGAGAAACTAGATTGTTTCTGTATATAAGACTACTTCCATAAAAATGCCATTACAAGCTTTTAACAGTTTATCTTGTATACTCAGGTAATAATGAATAATCTAATATTACAAATTCATGAACTATGTATTTGACTTCTCAAATATATACAGTTAACTGATGTTAACCATCTGTAAAAAGCTAGTTTATAAATATTATTGTATTTTTTGTAGTAACATTTGGTCTAAGTAGTCACTAGGGTCAGATTTATTTCAGTGCCACTGAGCAATCAATTGCATTTAATCTAAATAAACTGCAAAATTACCCAATGTACAGTTTGTATTACTGAACAAAATGCAGTACAGTTGTCAACTCTGAATTTCCCATGGGCTAGTTCTTCACTATGCTTCTGGAACTCAGTTTAGCAAAATTAGAGAAAAAGATTTCAGGTTTTTGCTCTGACTTGCAGAGAGTATGGAAGATGTCATTTGTGTCATCACACAAAGAAAACAAAATTGCATAACTATTCTTAGATCTGTTAGAGAAGTGAGGTTAAAGGGCACCCACTGTCCCCAAAACTGGGGAGACAGAAAGCTACGTAAAATCACAGATTATCAGGAGCAGAAGCTCACTGCTGGAGCCAGTGCTGGCAGGAACACTTAGACTGTAATTGAGGAGTTACCAGAGTCTCAGGGTAGACTAGTATGAGATTAAAAGCTCTGGGAGAGGGAGGCTCCCACACATTCACAGAGCCTCACCAGGTTCTCACTATGTTCAAAGAAAAATGCCATCTTCCTTCAATAAGAAGAGAAGCACAATAAACATTTTGAACTATACCCAGAGCCAGAATATCAGCTCTAGGTTCTATTCTCTGTAAAGAAGGCCAGACCTGGACAGAAACTACATTACCAAAGCCTTATCTGACATGGAGAAAGGCAGTTAGTCAACTCCAGCCCCATCAAGCCTTTCTATCTCACATAAAGGGAAAGAAAAAAAACAATGAAACTCATCTGAAGATCACAGTGCAGGGACTCTGGCCCACCACAAAGAAAAAAATAATTAAAATTTATTTATATTATTATAGAAAGTTTTTCTTCCCCAGTATCCAACTACCACATCAATAGGGCTCTGGGACAATAACAGTGAATTACAAGGGAGAGAACTGCAAGAAACAGATTCCATATAAAGAGTTTCTAGAGATTCCATATAAGAAGACTCAAAGACAATAGGGGAGAAAGAAAAAAAATACACTAGAGGAAATTGAAGCCTCTGACACATACAGATACAAAAAACATTAAACAGCCTATCTTCTAGCCAGATAAATATTAAACCTCACACTGAAGGCCTATTTACTTCAACCTGATTAAGCAATGCATCAGAGACAAAGCAAACATCAGAGACAGACTCAGATATGGCATGGCATTTGGAATTATCAGACATGGAATTTAAAATAACTATGATCAATATGCTAAGGGCTCTAATCGGAAAAGTGGACAACATGCTAGAACAGACAGGTGATATAAGCAGAGAGCTAGAAATTCTAAGAAGGAACCAAATGGAAATACTAGAAATCGAAAACTATGATAGAAATGAATGCCTTTGGTGGACTCAACAGTAGATGGGGTACAACTAAGAAAAGAATAAGCTTGAAGACTTGTCAGTAGAAATCTTCCAAACTGAAATGCAAAGAGAAAATAGAATGAAAAAGATGTGACAGAGTATCCAACAACTGTGGCACAATTGCAAAAGGTGTAATATGCACATAATGGGACTACCAGAAGGAGAAGAATGAGAGAAAGGAGTAGTGGAAATATTTAAAGTAATAATGGCTGAGCATTTTCCAAAATTAAGGACAAACACCAAATCTAAATCAGTGGAAAGGCCCTAACTCTTTATTTCTTTTAAGAATAGACAAATGCATACAGGCAGAAATTGTATCACTGGTTGCCAGAGTTTGGATGGAGGTAATCAGGATTGAATGCTAATAGCAATGGTGTTTTTTTTTTTTGGGGGGGTGAGGACAATGTTCTAAAATTAGATAATTATTATGGTTTCAGAGTAGACAAAACAAACAAACAAACAAACAAACAAAACAAAAACAGACTTCTAGAAACAGAAGCCAAAGGGATGGTTACCAGAGGGACGGGGTGGAGGATGGGTGAAAATGGGAAGGGGGATATAGTCAATACTATCATGATAAGTTTCCACGGTGACAGATGATTACTAGAATTAGTGGGGTGATCACATTGTAAGTTATAAAAATGTCAAATCACTATATTGTATACCTGAAACTAATAAAACCAATATAAGACTGTATACCAACTATACTTAAAAAAAAGACTCCAAAATAGTTATTAAATATGTTCCAAAAACGTGTTTGAGAACTAAAGAAAGGCATGATAACAATGATTTGTTCAAATGGAATATATCATTAATGAGGTAGATATTATAAAAGAAACCACTTGAAAATTTATGACTTGAAAAGCACAATTGCTGAAGTGATAAATCCACTAAGTGTCCCAACAGTATATTAGAAATGGCAGAAAAAAGAATCAGTGAATGTGAAGAGAGAGCAATAGAGATTATGAAATATGAAGAACAGAAAGAAAAAACAATGGAGAATTCTCCAAGAAAGCATAATAACTGTTAATGTGTATGTACCAAACAACAGAGCATCAAAATACATGAGGTAAAACCTGATAGAACTGTAAGGAGAAAGAGGTGTTACAGATTTCAACACCCTTCTATGAGAAATGAACAGATCCAGCAGGCAGAAAATCAGTGAGGACATAATTGTATTCAACAACACCATCAACAAACTATATAATTGACATTTATAGACTACTTCATTCAACAATAGCAGAATACACATTCTTTTCAAGCTCATATGAAACATTCACCAAGATACACCACTTGCTGGGCCATAAAACACACCTAAACAAATTTAAAATATAGATATCATACAATGTATGCTCTCACACAACAATGGGATTTAACTAGAAATCAACAAGCAAAAGATAGTTAAATATCCCAGGATACTTGGAGATTAAACAACACTACCAGCCACACATGGGGCAGAGAAGAAATCTCAAGAGCAACTTAAAAATATTTTGAACTAAATGAAAATGAAAATACAACTTATGAGAATTTGCGGGATGTTATGTAATCATTGTTGGAGGGAAATTTACAGCATTGAATGCATATATTAGAAAAGACAAAAGATCTTAAATCATCAATCTAAGCTTCCATTTTAGGAAACTATAAAAAGAAGAGCAAATGGAATAAAAAGTAAGCTGAAGAAAAGAAATGATAAAAATTAGAGCAGAAATCAATGAATCTGAAAACAGGGAATCAATATAGAAAATCAATGCAACCAAAAGGTAGCTCTTTGAAAAGATCAATAATATAGATAATTTCTATGAAATGCATCAATTAGTCAAATCCAGATTAGTGGTTACTAAGAGCTAGAGTTGAGGTAGGAAATGGAATGACTGCTGAAGGACACAAGTTTCTTGTGTGGTGATGAACATGTTCTATTATGAGAGTGTGGTGATGGATGCATAATTCTGAACGACCAAAACCCATGGTACATTTGAAAGAGTGAATTATATGGTATGTAAATTATATGTCAACAAGCCTTCAAAAGAAGAATTTTTAATGGAAGATTTAGTACGAACAAATATAACATTTTCATCCATATTTTCTCTTTCATTCTTCCACAGCACATTGTGCATTTGCCATATATGTTTTATAATGTCAGAGTGTATTTATTTATGTACCTCTCCCTTGCTCACTGTAGTATAAGACCCTTAAAGACCCTGTCTTACGCATTGCTGTATTCCTGGAACAGAAGTTCTCACAAGTGTTATCTGAATGAATGAATCAATAAGCCTGTAAAAACAAGCCTCTTTAGGAGCTTACCACTGGCTTAGCCCTTTGCCTTCCATCACTACCCACCCTGCCCCCATTTTGAATAACTTATTTTCAGTGTGAATTTGTGGTTTGATTTTACTTGAAGCAGGATTGTCACTTCCCAAAAGGGGAGGATTGTGGCATATTTCACTTTAATTTCACTCAGGACTGTTTTCATTTACTCTTTTAATAAAAATTCAAGCAAAAAGTACTTTTCATAGAAAAATGAAAAACCATCTCATTTTTGAGTCTCACAAATGACATGTGAAAAGGGCTGCAAACCACATGTAGCAGGTTTGTTTTATTTATTTACAGACATGGGCTCAAAGTCCAGTGCTGCTTTGGGGCACTGCTGACAGAATTTTCACCAAGTAGACCTTTAAAGAGTTTTTATTGTCAGCTGCTGGAAGTACCTAGGCAAAATATTTCTCTTTGACTTTAAAGAAAACGGCTACCTACCTGATCCCCAAACAACTTGGAGAAGCAGCTGCGGAGGTGAGACAAGGCTCATTGAGGAGAAAGTGTGGTCAGGATCAACACATACTCAATGTGACAGAGTGGAAGGAAACCTTTCTTCTCTTTGACCTTTCCTAGATACAGTCATCGGGACTCCTCTTGGGAATTACCTGTTCATCCTCCATGGCCTTTCATCAGCTCCTGGAGCAAATTGGAGGTATGGGCAGATTCCAGGGTCTTCAGATAGCTTTTGTTTGTATCTCCATCCTCATGGTGTACCCTCATATTCTACTGGAAAACTTCACTGCAGCTGTCCCTGATCACCGCTGCTGGGTCCACATCCTTGACAATGACACTGTCTCTGCTAATGGCACTGGGATCCACAGGCAAGACAGTCTCCTGAGAATTAGCATCCCACTGGACTCAAATCTGAGACCGGAAAAGTGTCGTCGTTTCTTCCATACTCAGTGGCAACTCCTTCACCTGAATGGAACTTTCTCCAACGTGAGTGAGCTGGACACGGAGCTCTGTGTGGATGGCTGGGTGTATGACCAAAGCTCCTTCTCTTCCACCATCATCACTGAGGTAAGAGTCCTTTTTATCTCTCTTGAGTCCATGGTCTGGGGATTTAGAGATCACACAAGTCATGAACGTTAGTCACTATGCAGGTGCTCAGTCTTTATTCCTTCAGCAAATATTAATTGCTTCTATTAAATGCCAGATGCCTACATATTTAATGAGTCTACTGAACTCAAAAATGGACATTATCTTACTATTATATGGCTTTTAGTTTTGAGAAGACCAAAGGTCAAACAAGTATTTTATATAATGTGTTAAAAATGTTATGCAACGTCAGTAATAGTCATCCTTGCAAATGAGGAATGTTTGGGAAGTTGATGAAAACAAACACAGACTGTACCCCAGAGCAGCCAGATGTAAAGATCCATGGTGAAATTGTGGCATCAGTAGATTTTAAAGCTCCTCTAATGATTGCACTCTGTAGCCAAGGTTGACAGCCACTTAGAATGGTGTAAAAGAAGGCATTAATACAGCCAGCACATTCAGAGGAGGCTTCCTAGTGGGAGTTAGGTTTAAGCTGAGACCTGAATAATGAAGGTCAGCTAATGCAAAAAATAGAAGCTGGAGAGGAAGAAGGGGCCTGATATAAGAAACCTGAAAGTCGGGCCAGCCGAGTGG